AAAACAGCTCACATGCTCAAACACAGAGCTTTTAAGTGTGGACCTGCACTTGGAAAGACTGGGGCAAAAAATTAAGTGGGGGCAGGGCTGGTTTAAGGTAAAGGTAAAGGGACCCCTGACCATTAGGTCCAGTCGTGTCCAACTCTGGGGTTGCGGTGCTCATCTCGCTTTATTGACCAAGGGAGCCGGCGTACAGCTTCCAGGTCATGTGGCCAGCAGGACTAAGCTGCTTCTGGCGAACCAGAGCAGCACACGGAAACGCCATTTACCTTCCCGCCAGAGCGGTACCTATTTATCTACTTTCACTTTGATGTGCTTTTGAACTGCTAGGTTAGCAGGAGCAGGGACCGAGCAACGGGAGCTCACCCCATTGTGGGTATTCGAACCGCTGACCTTCTGATCGGCAAGTTCTAGGCTCTGTGGTTTAACCCACAGCGCCACCTGTGTCCCTAAGGTTGGTGTAGAGCTCTCCATTTCAGAAGTTCACCACCCCCACTTGTTGAGGGTGAAAGGAATTACCACAAAGGGCAGGCCTTCACACACTCATACCCACTTGGCAGTGCTGGATTTATGTATATAAGCTAAACAAGCTATATCTTAGGACCTCTCTCTTGGGGGGCCCAAAAAAAATTTAAAGGAAAAAACCCTGGATGTACATTTCCAAAATATAAGATAAAAACAAATAAACTAAAACCTACATACAGCAGCAGTGTTTTGTGTTGTGTAGGCTCCCATGATGTAAGTCATGGGCCCCGCCTGCTCCCTAAAATATCACTGGTTTGCTCATTTCTATATCTAGGGTGCCTACATTCTGCATGGACCGGTTGCAAGGCAACATGTGCAAATGGCTTTAGATACCTGTTAGGTCCATAAATTACCATATAGCATATATGTGTGAGCTCCCGTTGCTCGGTCCCTGCTCCTGCCAACCTAGCAGTTCAAAAGCACGTCAAAGTACAAGTAGATAAATAGGTACCGCTCCGGCGGGAAGGTAAACGGTGTTTCCGTGCGCTGCTCTGGTTCGCCAGAAGTGGCTTAGTCATGCTGGCCACATGACCCGGAAGCTGTACGCCGGTTCCCTCGGCCAATAAAGCGAGATGAGTGCCGCAACCCCAGAGTCGGCCACGACTGGACCTAATGGTCAGGGGTCCCTTTACTTTTACTAGAGAAAACTCTGCCTTTTCTTCTCATTGAAATCTAAAGCAGCTCACACAATACTGTGTCAAACCCTAGCATGCCAGTATTTCCACCCATTGACAGCTTTACTTGCATGCCTACAACAGACTTTGTATATTGTGCTACATCATCCTACCCCAACCTAGTGTCCTAGTGTCATCGGGCCACAACTCCCATCACCATTGGTCATTGGCCATGCTGGTTGGGGCTGATGGGAGTTGAAATCCAGCAACGTCTGGAGAAGGCTGTCCCTAAGCTAACAGAACCACTCCAGTGTATGCTGCTCATGTATTCATTGCATAAATGTATTGTTATAATGAAGAGATAATGCAATATAGAGTCGATGTAAATATACAGCTGTAGATGTCTGCAATGTCTCAAGCTCCCAGGATATAAACTATGTTTTACGACATGAATCAATAGAGCTTCATTAGTAAAAGGCAATGCAAAATATCCTCTTTGGGCACCGAGGGCAGATAAGTCATATACCTGTATAGTCTCTGTATGCACATGTGTGGCCGATAAACACTTTTGAGATGAAAACATACTTGCTTTGTGGTACCTTTACAATGTTGTAGGGTGGGTGGGTGTGTGTGTGTGTGTGTGTGTGTGTGTGTGTGAATCTCATCTCTTCAGGGACCTGTCACTCATTTCCTACCTCTCTCACCAACCTGGTGGGGATTGATGGGAACTGGAGTCCAGACACATCTGGTAATAATAATAATAATTTTATTATTTATACCTCGCCCATCTGGCTGGGCTTCCCCAGCCACTCTGAGTGGCTTCCAAAAAAATATTAAAATACTGTAGTACATCAAACATTAAAAGCTTTCCTAAACAGGGCTGCCTTCAGATGTCTTCTAAAAGTCTGGTAGTTGTTGTTCTCTTTGACATCTGGTGGGAGGGAGTTCCACAGGGAGGGCACCACTACCGAGAAGGCCCTCTGCCTGGTTCCCAGTAACTTGGCTTCTCGCAGTGAGGGAACCGCAGAAGGCCCTCGGTGCTGGACCTCAGTGTCCGGGTAGAACGATGGGGGTGGAGACGCTCCTTCAGGTATACAGACCAAGGCCGTTTAGGGCTTTAAAGGTCAGCACCAACACTTTGAATTGTGCTCGGAATTGTGCTTTGGCTTTGGTAGGCCAAAGGTTCCCCAGTCTTGGTTGAAATCCCTGCAATGTTTGATCAGCCAGTTTCCAAAGTCAGCAGAATGTGAAAAAAGGCTTGCAGTGCAATGTGGAAAGCTGCTGCTAATGGGAGAGTAAGATTTTACAAGGCCTGTTGGGTGTGAGCAAGCAATTGTATGTACCCAAAGGAGTTTGTAGGCTCACAGCCCAGATAATCTTATAATGAACTTGGAGGTTCCTGCAAAACATTCCCCAAAAAAATTTCCAAAAGACTTCCAGTAAGTCTCATGTGCATTCCTCACCAAAAGCATAACACATTGTCAACAAGTTATATGGAAATTCACCAGAATGATTTAATATATTTTCCTGTAGAAGTTCTGAGACAAACAATCGCATGAGTGAACCAATGAGTGAAGTTAGTGTTATGGAACTTGCTGCATTGATTAGAATGTCATGGGCCTAATTCTGCGATTTCATCCAGAATTAAAGTGCTCTCTCTGGACTACTCATTGCTTGGGTAAGTGAGACGCATTTAAACAAAGTTACTGTTCCGGTGGCTTAAGTATGTACCCAACTAAAGCAACTTACTCAGTCTACTCATATAATACTGTGAAAAGAAAAATGAAACATTTAAGCCATATCAGACCCTCCAAGTTTCCCTATTTTCCAGGGATTTAGAGAAGCCGTCCCGGTTTCTGATTTGATCCTGAAATGTCCCTTTTTTCCTTAGGACGTCCCTATTTTCATTGAAGAAATGTTGGAGAGTGTGGAGTTATCTGACCCCCGAGCCGTCTGAAGGCAATCCTAAATAGGGAAGGCTTTTTAATGTATAATGTTTTATTATGTTTTTACACATGTTGGAAGCCGCCCAGAGTGGCTGGGGCAACCATTAAGATGTGTGGGATATAAATAATATAATTACAGTGGTACCTCTGGATGCGAACGGGATCCGTTCTGCGCATGCGCGTGACATCATTTTGAGCATCTGTGCATGTGCGAGCGGCGAAACCCAGAAGTAACGCATTCCATTACTTCTGGGTCGCCGCAGAACGCAACCCGAAAACGCTCAACCTGAAGCAACTTTAACTTGAGGTATGACTGTATCGCTATGGAATGGGACGTCCCTATTTTCATCAGAGAAATGTTGGAGGGTATGCTATATCTTTAGGGATGTTTCCATACAGAAGAACAAAATGCTAAACGTTTGTTTCACTTGATAATTCAAGCACATTTTAACAGCCGCAGCAACACCATATGTTTAAAGCAGGTTTCATGACTTCTTTCAAAGAAATCTAGGAACTGTGGTTTTTTTAGGAGTACTAGGAAGTGCAGCTTTAAATGTGTGGCACGGATGTGTTTGCAATTTTGCATCAATAATGCTAATGCAATTGTCAAGCTCCCTTTAAGAATGAACATTTGACAAGGCTGGCTTTGAGACAGATGACTTGCTTGCCCTGTATGTACACTGCTATATCCAGAGGCATGCTTTATAACACGTCCTAATGTCAAGGGACGCAGGTGGTGCTGTGGTCTAAACCACAAAGCCTAAGGCCTGCTGATCAGAAGGTCGGCGGTTCGAATCCCCGTGATGGGGTAAGCTCCCACTGCTCGGTCCCTGCTCCTGCCAACCTAGCAGTTCGAAAGCACGTCAAAGTGCAAGTAGATAAATAGGTACCACTCCAGCAGGAAGGTAAACGGCGTTTCCGTGCGCTGCTCTGGTTCGCCAGAAGCGGCTTAGTCATGCTGGCCACATGACCTGGAAGCTGTACTCCGGCTCCCTCGGCCAATAAAGCGAGATGAGCGCCACAACCCCAGAGTCGTCCGCTACTGGACCTAATGGTCAGGGGTTCCTTTACCTTTACCTTTAATGTCAAGGAACATTTTAAAATTTCCTCAGTGGTTTTACATTTCTTTTTTTTATTGTCAATGTTTTAATTAAAATTTTAAAATCTTTACATGTAAAATCCAGATTCCAAATTTGTTATACATTTCTCTTTCGACTTTGACTTCCCATCTTTCCCTAAAGGCACTTAAATTCAGTGGGGTGACATGGAAATAATTAGTCTTACAGGTAGAGTTGCACACCAGATACCTAGAATCCTAGATCTGTAGAGCTGGAAGGGACCACAAGGATAATCTGTCTAGTCCAGTGTTTCCCAAACTTAGGTCTCCAGCTGTTTTTGGACTACAACTCCCATCATCCCCAGCTAGCAGGACCAGTGGTCAGGGATGATGGGAGTTGTAGTCCAACAACAGCTGGAGACCCAGGTTTGGGAAACACTGACCGAGTCCAACTCCCTGTAGTTCAGGAATATTTTGGTTATGTACTGAGTTGAATAGGATCCAAAAGGCAGCAGTCTGATTGGTCCTAGAACAATAGGATTCAGAATGCAGCAGTCTGATTGGTCCTAGAACAATAGGATTCAGAATGCAGCAGTCTGATTGGTCCTAGAACAATAGAGTCCAGAATGCAGCTGTCTGATTGGTCCACAGGAGCCACCCAATCCAGCTCCAGGTGGAAGTGAATCCGCAACCTGATTGGCCTACAGGTGAATCCTGGAATTAGCCAATCACGTGGGGCCCATTGTGTAAATAATGTATATAAAGCAGACATTCTGGGGGAACTTCCATTCCTCCTCACCACTATGAGCTGAATGAAGAGCATGAAATCCACTCTCGACTCCGAGTATATTTCAATTTTGCTGAATGTGGTGCTCAAACCCACAACCCTTAGATTAAAAGTCTCATGTTCTACCGACTGAGCTATCCCCCAGGGCATCACTGTTGTGGAAACGCAAACCCCTGATGAAACATTAGCCTATACTGCAAAGGGTCTCTTGAAAATAAGGAGGAGAGATCCAGTCGTGTTTAAAGCTTGGTTAGTTTAGGGGGTAGGGGATACTTAAGATTCCAAGCATTGCCTCAGAAAAAAATCATGACATGAAAACCCGCATTTTGTATAGTGCCCTGGAACTGATAAAAGCATGTTAGTGCTTGTCCGGAATGAGATCATCTAAAAACAACTGAGAAGTATTAGGTGATGGAGCCGAAAACACAGCTAAAGATCTTGAAATTGTCATTCCCAGCCTGGCAGTATCAAAAAATCACTATGACAGTGTTATAACCTGTAGATCGCAAAGAACGAAGAAAATATCCTGCAAGCTGGCACAGTGGGATAGTCATCTCTACAGGCTATTCCGAAGAGCAGTCAAAAATACATAAAAATTGATTTCTGCTAGCCTGCGTTAGATAGAATTCTTGTTGAACTCGACGGATTATTCACCTCTAACACTAATTTGCTCTTTGGACCTCACGGGGGGCCTTAGAAAGAGAGGAACAGAGGGGGGAAAGTCAGTGAACAGAAAATCATATTCCTATTAGTGAAACTGGAAATTACGATGACTGTCTTATTTAAACATATGGATTTCAAAAACCCTGCATGCTTGTATTAAGTGTGGATTATAACCCAATCCAACACATGTTTACTCAGAATTAAACCCCTCTAGAGCCAACAGGGCTTACTCCCAGGTAAGTATAATTAGGACAGCAGCCGAAGGAGGAGCAACACCAATCTTTCCAAATATTAGGGTAATATCATCTTGTTTGGCTTTGTGCAGTGGTTAGTGTGTTGGACGAGGACCTAAAAGACAGGGCTTCATGAAGCTCGCTTGGTGACCTTAATAATAATAATAATTTATTATTTATACCCCGCCCATCTGGCTGGGTTTCCCCAGCCACTCTGGGCGGCTTCCAACAAAACACTAAAATACAATAACCTATTAAACATTAACAGCTTCCCTAAAAAGGGCTGCCTTCAGATGTCTTCTTGAGCCAGTCATTGTCTCCCAACCAACCTCACAAGATTGTTGTGATGACAAAATGGAAGAGAACAACGTTCACCGTCTTGAGGTGCCTAGGGATTGCCGATCGGAAGGTCGGCGGTTCGAATCCCCGCGACGGGGTGAGCTCCCGTTGCTCGGTCCCTGCTCCTGCCAACCTAGCAGTTCGAAAGCACGTCAAAGTGCAAGGTACCACTCCAGCAGGAAGGTAAATAGGTACTGCTCCGGCGGGAAGGTAAACGGCGTTTTTCTGGTTCGCCAGAAGTGGCTAAGTCATGCTGGCCACATGACCCGAAAGCTGTACGCCGGCTCCCTCAGCCAATAAAGTGAGATGAGCGCCACAACCCCAGAGTCACGGGTCCCTTTACCTTTTACACGTAATAATAGAACAAAATTGTTATTATCATTATTTTATTTTATTTTATTACATACAATATTACAAATACATATACATATTGCATAACCAAAAGAAAATTACAGAAAAAAGAAAGAGAAAATAGAAAAAAACATAAAAGGAAAAAAAGGGGGAAAGGAAAGAAAAACTGAAAAATAAACATTTTTAATTATACCTCTTTGTGGGGAATCCAAGCCTTCCTTTTACAACTTCTGGCTTGTCTCCCTGATTTGTATCTTGACTTCCCACCTCCTTTAAATGGTTCCTAATAATTCATAATTTCTTGTTGTCTGTATTCAGTTAGTAAGTCTGTGGAGAACAATCAAATTACCAGTGGGATTTTATTCTACACTAAGCCAAGTGAAGTCCTGGGAACCTCCTTTTTTCATGTAAGTTATGAAAACATTCCATTCTCTCCTTATTCTTTCATTTGAATGGTTTCTTATAGATTCTGTAAGTTTAGCCAGTTCTAAGTATTCACTTTTCCAAAAAAGAAGAGCCATTCTTTTTTTGTTGGCAATATATTACTTTTCCAGTGTTTCGCAATCACGATCCTTGCGACTGTGGTTGTGTATAGAAGGACTCTTTCTTTGTCCTTTGGAATGCCCGTTGTAAAAATTCCTAATAAAAATAACTCTGTGGGGTTTTTTTGGAAAAGTGTGTCTGATCTTTTTTCCCCCCCTTCGTATATCATGTCCCAGAATGCTTTTATTCTGGGGCATGTCCACCACATGTGGAAAAAATTCCCTAATAGAACAAAATTAATTCACTCTACACTTCAACATCAAAAAAACGAAGATCATGGCCACTGGGCCCATTACCTCCTGGCAAATAGAAAGGGAAGAAATGGAGGCAGTGAGAGATTTTACTTTCTTGGGCTCCATGATCACTGCAGATGGTGACAGCAGTCACGAAATTAAAAGACGCCTGCTTCTTGGGAGAAAAGCAATGACAAACCTAGACAGCATCTTAAAAAGCAGAGACATCACCTTGCCAACAAAGGTCCGTATAGTTAAAGCTATGGTTTTCCCAGTAGTGATGTATGGAAGTGAGAGCTGGACCATAAAGAAGGCTGATCGCCGAAGAATTGATGCTTTTGAATTACGGTGCTGGAGGAGACTCTTGAGAGTCCCATGGACTGCAAGAAGATCAAACCTCTCCATTCTGAAGGAAATCAGCCCTGAGTGCTCACTGGAAGGACAGATCCTGAAGCTGAGGCTCCAATACTTGGCCACCTCATGAGAAGAGAAGACTTCCAGGGGGGCCACCAGGGGTGCATTGGAAGATGGCCGACAATACCATCTCTCCAGCTCACACGGGGTAATTAAGAGGCTGATATGGGAGTATGCAGCCTCCCTTGTTACCCCAGGGAATGGGGAAACACTGCCTCGCCTGCTGTTGCCATAAATCACCCCTGAGTTCGAAAGAAGGGAGTGAAGGCACTAGGCGCACAGCCCCCGTGGGGGCCAGCTCTCCCTGACGCTGTCTCTGATCATGTGAACTGGCTCCAGGAGCTCGAAATAAACAATTAGAAAGAAGCAAATGCACATATTTCAAGTGAAGAACGGGAGTTAAGACTGCTAATGGAAGTGACCTCTGCGAAGTAGGGCGACGGGTTAGATTTAACAGGAATATATCATGAAGATACATCAAAGGGTCGGTATGTCGGAACGGGACTGGATGGGGGGGGGACTTTTTTCTTTTCTTCTATGTGATTACCCAATAACCCCTCCCCAAGAAAGAACCATTGCATAACTGACTTAAGCGGGATGATTAAAAACTGTGTGGAAATTAATTATTAACCAAAAGTTTGGCTTATGGAGATCTGGAAAAGAACAAGGGCTTTTGGAATGACGCAGCAATAAAAAGAGAGTCGCCATGTTGGCAGGTTTTGTCGAAAGATTGATGACTGAGGAGGAGGAAGCTATGGATTTGTTTTCATATTGGATTCCTGGCAGAACCTCCTCAGAAGACTGAGAAAGGGAGCGACAGACCTGTGAAGATTAACGAGTAGACGGTAAGAGTGTTTTTCTTTATGGAAGCGATGAAAAGCGGCAGCCGCCTGAATATGACTCTTGGATGAATGGGAAAACCCACACAGGATTACAATTTGTTTCAACTCGCTTGCGGAGACTATCAGAGGTCACAAAGAGAAAGGAAAAATATATGAAAATAACAAGGAGAGACGTGGAAAACAACGAGAAAGGATTGGACAGAATTGTGAACATCATTTGGATAGATTTGTGGACATTAAAGCAGCAGCAACAAGATGATTGGATCCCTTTCGGAACTTGAAATATGGGTACCCCCAAGAAAAATTTAAAATTTGGCTTTGTAATTTGTAATTAATGTGATTCGATTTGATTGGTCTGTTAATAAAAATTATTTTAAAAAAGAGAGAGAGAAGAGAAGACTCCCTGGAAAAGACCCTGATGTTGGGGAAAGATTGAGGGCACAAGGAGAAGGGGACGACAGAGGACGAGATGGTTGGACAGTGTTCTCGAAGCTACCAGCATGAGTTTGACCAAACTGCGGGAGGCAGCGGAAGACAGGAGGGCCTGGCGTGCTCTGGTCCAGGGGGTCACGAAGAGTCGGACACGACTAAACAACAACAACAACAGCACACATCACAAGCTTTCAAAATTAAGCTTTGCAGATTGCAATGATAAGGGTGAATTGTCCTCACCCCACCTTCCAGCTTTCCTTACCTTCCTGGGATCCAAATTTCATTCTTACTGGTGCTTCTGTTTCCAAAGAGAGCAAATGCATTCCATTCACTGTTCTCTCCCCAGAAGACCTTTACGTAAATTGAAATTTCAGCAATACAGTCTTAATGAAACCTAATTATGTGTCTGCTTGAATAAACTCCCTCAATTTTTCACACATAGGAGAGCAAGATTAAAAGAAATCCTTTCTTCCTTTCTTTAACATCCAACCAAACCCAGACTGAAGGGAGAGTGAGGGGGCATGCACCATGGGGAACAGATGGGGGGAAGCAGAGAAACAGCATCCTGCCCCCTGACAAAGCAGCTTTCTGCTTATAAGTCAAGGTGGGTGGACCATAGCTAGTCATGTTGCATCATCTTCAGAGCCTGACTCCTCCTTTATGTTCCTGCTGGACCAAAAACAGAAGAAAAAGAGAGATAATCTCAGCCGCAACCCTCTGATTAGAAATTGCATTTGGTTCAGAAAACACCTCACACATAGCAAACGTTATTTCCTGTTGAGATGGTTCACATCACTTTATTCTTTAAAAAAAATTTTTTATCATTTTCATTTGTAACGAAAATACATTTCTAACATGTCTATACAAAATTATGTACTATCTCTTAACAGGCTATATATATATATATATATATGAAAATTTATAAAGAAAAAAAGAAGTAAAGAAGTAACAAAGATAAGAAACAACAAAGACATGCAAATCTTTTAATCAATAAAGAATTGATATTAAAAAAGAAAGAAAAGGCATTTCTAACAATATGAAAGTTATTGTTACATTTTAAACCTCTTTCTGCGGTTCCTTAACTATACTCTCT